ATTATGCCCACCCCTAGTTGACAGAGCATTAAGTAGAACATTTACTAAATGTCATTGCTCTCAAAATGATCCACCCTCAATGCTCTCAAATGAAGCTTTCCAGAGCATTGACCTCTAAATATTTTTACAAAAATTAAAATTATATAACTAATTTATTTTAAATTACATCAAAAATAAATTATATTAAATTTTAATTATTTTAATTCATATTTATCATTATTTTATTTATTATGTTATTTTAAGATATTTTATGATATAATATTAATTCAATTAAATATAATTTAAATTCGAACAAATTATAAAAGAAATTTATGATATAATTTATAAATATAATATATACAATCATTTCAATAAAAATAAATATACATAATTTCTGTAATTATAAAACATATATATATACTGTATATAGTAATACTTATCATTTTTTATATGTTCTATCATTTTTTAAAATAGAACTTAAATATTAAAATTCATATTTTATAAATATATTTATATTTGTCTTAAAATGAAAATTGAATACATACCATTAATTACTTTGTCATATTATTTATTAACTAATATTATAATAAAATAATAATTTAATAAAAAATCTAAAAATTGATGTTATAACTTATTACTAATATATATGTATATATTGTATTAGAATACATATAAATAAGTAAAATAAAAAAATTATTTTAATTTTATATCTAATCATTCACAGCTTTGCCAATCACTTAAAATGTGCATATTAATCATAGCATACTGCTCCAGCTGCTTACTGCTAATGCTGCTTTATGCTACTGCTCATCAAAAAACTATACCAATCAAGGCCTAACACATGTGCAATTTCATCTGCCACGTAATTAAGATATGTGCCCGTTATGTAACACATAGTTGTGCGCCAGTTTTTTAGTTGTGCACATTTGTTAATAGTTATACTTTCGGGGTTTCGCTATTTTTTTAGTTTTACCTTATTATGAAAAATAATTTTTCAGTTGTACATGTGATTTTTGGAACTAGAATCACATTTCTTATGTTTCCATGTCAAAATATGTGGAAGACCACATTTCCTATCAGTTTTTGCATAAGAAGGTGTATAGCATTATGAAACCTCTCTTAAAAGTATAAAGTGATTGATAGAAGATTCAAAATATGAAATTAAATAAATCGAATATTTTTAAAATATCAATTATAGAGAAATAAAATAACTAATATTGTGCTTTTACTAAGGAATTTCAAAACAAAAAATAAATATTTATGATTTTTTAATACTAAATATTACTTATTATATGATATGAAATATGTATTTTACTTGTAAAATATTTTTTGTTGCCAAAAATACAAATCAATTTTTTTAAAAAAATATTCATTCATCAATTAAATTACTAATTGTTGTTAAAAAGATATAAATTGTTTTGACATGAAAACTAAAATAGTAAACAAACAAAATAGTAAAAACTTCTTAGTTGTACCAATACATTAACGAGTAGTACCCAAAAATCTACTAATCATAAATGATTCACGACGATTCAACCACTGTGGGATGTTACGTTACTTACCCAATGCAATGTTCTAATTGACCCATATATCATCCATTGCAATGTGCATATGAGATAAATAATTGTCCAAATCCAATTGAAACCTAAGTTATGATTGCTCAATTTTTTGTTTTGAACAAGAAAAATTGATTAATAAACTAAAAACTAGTTCGATTTAAGCTAAAAACGCATGTCAATTCAGTTTTTACTGCAAAGAAGATTCTTCAATGGCGGATTGAGTTTCAATTGAACAAATGTGTTTCAATGGTGATGGAGGAACATGAAGAAGAAGAAGAGATCGCGATCCACTATTATAATTGAGAAAAAAAAGAGTGGATGGGTGGTTAGAATTAAAGAGGGTTGTATGAATTCTTTTGTGAGATTTAGGGTTTTTGAGGTTATGATCCAAAATAGTATACAAGGAATTAGAGAAGTAATTGAATTCATTCGATTAAATCCTAAAACCCTAGGTAAAAAACCCTCTTCCACTCTTGTTGTGAATATTGTGGATGATGATGGGCTAATACTTGTCCACGTTAGCGCCCATTCGGCCAGATATTACGACTCTAACATACACCGTTTCATGAAACACAAAACCTCAGTGTATACGGGACAGGACGGTACAGTACAAATACGGTTTATGGGTTGTCGCTTCAAATAAAATTGGAGATTTCTTATGGTAATCCATTGTCATGGATGTTTGGGTACTCGGATCCGTTTCGTTAAGGTTTTCATTTTT